AACTAAAACTTTTGAAGCTTCATCCTGAAAACAGCAAAGAACACCATTTTTAGATTAGAAAAGCAAACAATTCTACTGCTCTCCTTTCCTGTCATTGATTTTGAGTACAGTGAGTAAGAGAGACTAAGGTTAAGGTTTCTGAGAGGGAATTTCATGCACTCCTTTGATCTAATTCCGTGAAATTGCTAAGCAATATAGTCATAGGTAAAATACATTTTTCCTTGCATTGTGTGCGCTTCTTACAGACATATAAACTAAACCTGCACTGTCATCTGCAACTACCAGTACCAGAAAAATGCAAAGCACTAAAAACCCACTACTGTGGTCTTTCACTTCATTTTGAAGATGTGAATGACCTGTGATGGAGAGCAGGAAAGCAGGAACAGGCTGAATGTATATTGTTATTCTTGTGGCTTAGCAGAATGTTATTTACAAGGAGAAATCTGCCCTTTCAGACCTGATTCATTGCTATACTATGGTTGCTTTACATTATTTTGGCAGTGTAAACAAACCTTAAAGGTCCTAAAAATTGTATTTGCATTCAGCCTATGCTCTGATTCTCCAATACAGCAATGGTACACTGTATGTACAACTGTGCTTTATGTGACTGGCAGAATCCTAAGAAATTACTTTTCCCCATCTTTTCTTAGAAATGCAAACAAATTAACAAACACAGAGCTTATCTGGTGCCAAAACAGCATAGTGAAGATTGATCCCCAACAGCTGAGCTGTGCCTTTTCTTATTAAGTCTTCAGCACAAAAGTCCTTCCAAAATTAGTCATGAATAAAAGAATTTGAAAAATAATAATATGAAGACAAACACCATATACTACAGAACATTTATGAAAACCTTCTTGTCTCTCAGACCATGAATTCCCATGATCCTACAAAAATAATTTATTTCAAAAGTGGACTGAGAAAACTGATGTGTCTGCGCTGGATCTACCTCATCATGTTTCTCAGTGTACTAGAGCCGTCCTCATTTTTTTTCTAATATTTTGTAACTGCCATGCAAACAGCGATTGCAACTGTTAAATCCTTCCTATTGTCTAAAGAAATGATCAGGGTCCTTTTGTAATTTGAAACTGAGGACGCAACCATTCTACACTTAAGATGAGATTGAGAGGGAGCTTGTGAACATTGCACAGCACCGTTTTAACATTTACTACCATAAAATATACTACAAAGCTACCTTAGGGCACATTTTAATCTTTCCTGCATAACTGAAATTTTTCCTTCTGTGTAAACAGTAATTTACCTTCCAGGATATACGGGCCTATTAAAAACAAACATGAAAAGCAAAAAATTTCTTCTCTATTGTTTTGGCCCTCCTCCAAAGGAAAAAGATCTTCTTCACCATGAGTGACACATTTGTCAGTTTATAAAATACTTAACACATGTAATGTTTGGGAGAAATAAAAACTTGTACCTCCCAGGTTTTTTTGTTGGGAAAAAAAAAAAAAAAGGCAGATTTTTCTACCCTTGTAATGACTGAACTGAACTGGTTCCCCTTGCTAATCCAGCCCTCATCCAGGTTGCTCACTGTGACGACTGAAGCACTCAGGCCAGATCAAAAGATGAAATTGTGTATACCATGAGTATGTTTACTGGATTCAGTGCAGGGAACAGGGATTTGTGTCGATGGCAGGGCAGATTGCTAATTGTTTGCTTAAACTTAACGTACAAGGTTAGATTTTTCTCCAGTAGCTAGGTGCCAAAAGACACAGCTAATTCTACAGTGGAATTTCAAATTTCAATTTTCAGCCTCAGCAAGGTAAATGTCTAATCTCCAACAGGATTTAGACACATAACCAGATTATACTCTGTTTAAAAACGTATTTCCTACTTACCTGCATATTTAGCAGCCTAACTAGCTTTAAAAAGCTTTCCTCCAAGGGCCCAGTTTGGAGCAAGAACTGCCCATAGATGTCTAGCTTTTCCCATTGGGATTTTTTTTCAGTCCTGTATGTTCACTGCCAGAGATCATCAACCTGCCCTAGAAATTTGCATGCTGTTGCTTTTCTGTACCTGGAACAAACCAGCACCTACTCTTCAGTATGGGGGTTCATTGGGGGTGCGGGAAAAGGCATGGTGGGTTCATCTGAAATGCCTTGGAGAGAAGAACACTGAATAATGTGTCTGGTGAAGAGTACTCTTGAATTCCCAGATCACCTACGCTGGTACAAAGAAAAGGTAACTTTAAGATCTACTCCCTACCCAAAACACACAGTAATGCCCCTCCATCCAAAGGCAAGGATCTCTTTACCAATTCCCTCTTAACAACTTCTCTAGAAAGAATCCTGAATGTATCTGTCTGATTAAGCTGAAATGGAATCATTTAATATTTGGGGGGAAATTCTGAGGTTTATTTCACTCAAAAAGAAAAAAACTGAAGGGAATTTGTCTAGCAATTAGTCCAAAATCAATGTGAGGTTATGCATTCTTTATCCTAAACATCAAGAACTAACAACTGTGGTAACAATTTACAGCCCCAGAAAATAACTGAGATCCACTTTGGATTTTCCTCTTAGGCTACTAGAGATTTGACTTGTAACTTTGTCAACATTAAGATTAAGTTTCTCCATCCAATCCAATCCAATCCAATCCAATCCAATCCAATCCAATCCAATCCCATATAACATTAAGCCATAAAAAGCTTCATCAGAACAAAAAGATCTACTTTTTAAAAGTCTGCTGTTTCTCTCTGCAGAAGTATCTTTCACAAAACCAAACTTGTTTCTAATTTCCTTCCTGTCCCCCACAAAAATTCTCTCAGTCTGATACTCTTCAATCATGATTAAAAAGCATTTCTGAGTGTTTCCCTGACAAATGTTCCTACTCATTTTTTTCAGAAGCTGGCAATGATATTTGTATCTTGCTTGGTATTTTGTATTGGACTAATTATCATGATAAGAAAACCACTGCAATATTTTGTTGCATACAAACACCATCCTGCAGGATGCATCAGGTATTTGTGGATAACCAGGTAGGATGAGGGGGTTCAGTAGTGCTGATTTCCCAAACTCATTCAGTTGGTCCCTACCCACCAGTATTCCACCTGGAAACAGCACTGACTTTCGCTGGCAACACAGAGCATATTTGCTATCTGTTATATGCTGGAACTGTCATGAATATGTCACAAAACATGGAATTTGTCCATATGCTTGGAAATCAGTCAAATATGCCTAAAAAATGAGATAAAAACTGTCAAGCAAGCAAACAAAAATTAAAAATTTGTTACTTTAAAAGAGCTTCAAGACTGTTCACTGTATTTCAAATACCGTGAATTCCTTCAGACTTGCAGTTTCTTAGTGTGAGCACAAGATAAGGGGTAGCCACAGATTTATGCTTGGATGTCAATAGTGAGCCTGAACTGTGACAAGACATGGAAATCAGGAGTGATCTACACGCAGCAGTGCCGGTGGTGTCCTGCCTGCTGAAGCATGTATGGGGATGCAGCATCTGTGGCTATCAGGCCAGTAAAAAAAAATAGATTTTCTGTCCCTTCTTAGATTCAAGGAACATTTGACCTGATATACTGTATTACCTTTCTCCAGACTAATTCTTCGCTACTTGTTCGTGTCCCTAAAGCACTTATGGTGTTACCTAACCCTGTCAGCTACAGTAAAAACCACAATGTGACATGAAGGCCAGCGAGCGTGACACTTCAGCCCAGTAAGAGCAGTAAGTGACCACATGGTAGATCCCAGAAAGCTTGAGGCTTCAGCTCCAGCTTGTTGCATCACGGGGTTGTTACTCAGGAGATGTAACAGACCAAAGGCAAATCTGCATCTTTCACTTCTTGACTGTTTCACCTCGGATGACATGCACAGCCATTAAGGGAGGTGGAATGTATCCTACCAGGCTGTCCTCATCTGGAGCAATGCATAAAACAAAGTGTTAAATGTGGAGAAGACGGTGAAGAGAGTAATGTGGCAAGCTTTTCTGCCACTTCTGTCACCCTCCAGACACAGAAGAATGTAATAGACATTGCAATTCAGTTCCTCAACCAAGCAAGCTAAATTCTTCCTTCAGACAACCTGGAACATCACTGGCCAACAGTAATATATCATCTACTACATTCTGTCCAAGTTTGGAAAGAGAAAGAAAATCCAGAGCCAACTAATGAAACTGTTGTCAGCATTCTCCTTGGGTTCATGGCCTTTACTGAATCAACTTATAAATCTCTGGATTTGCAGGGCTTCTGAAAGGCTCTGTGCCCTTTAGCTGAAGTATGTCTTTCGTTCCTGATACTATGGGCAGGAGTTTGAATTTCTGGGAATTGCATCCTAAGGCACAGATTAATCAAGGAGCAAGAATCAACCTGAAGTGTCTCAGGTGTGAAGAAGTATTTGCACGACATGATCCACTTCCTAGCATCACATGAGCATTTTCACCGAACAAAACTGCTGGTAACATGGAGACCCAGGACAGTAAGAGTGCTCTCGATCTCTTGTGCTCTCTTTTGCTGCTGTCGTTTCTCTGGCCCTTATGAGTTAGTGTTGAATGGGTGCTAGGAAGTGTTCAGTGGCTGGAGGAAGTGAATTATATATTATATTATTTCCTGCAGTCAAGAACTTCACGAGTCAGGCAACCCCTTCTAGCTTTTGGTTCCTGTATAAAAGCAGCTACTGGGAAAAGCTTTCGGAGCTGGCAAACCTGGAAATCTCTGAAGACTGTTCTTTGCAGGGGGGTGGGTTACAATGAAATGGGATTCAAGTATCTTTGAAACAGCATCGGTACCCTAGAAGCCATAACCCACTGCAGCAAGCCCCAGTCCTGTTGCCCTGAACTGTCATCAGATTCACACTGTTGCCGAGGTGCACTGCACCTCCTGGTTTGTGACTAACCCATTTGCACGTGGTTCTCCACTCAATCCAAACTCACCCCTGCTGGGTCTCAGCTAGCAACCCTGAACAAACCCATGGAGACTAGAGAAATGAATCATTTTACCCAATACATGAAGCCTTCACACACCTTCGTGTTTAGATGACTCTTACCTCTTTCTGGTGATACTTTATTGCTACCTTTAGCTTTGCCAAATCATGACATTTTTGGGGATCCAGCTCTTCGCTTTGATCATCTCTGTGATTTAGAATGATCTCCAGTTCTCGGGAACTCCGTGCTTGATCCAAAAGGTCCTTAGCAAAACGCTTGCACTGCTGTGAAAGCTCTTCATATTCAGCCTTGAACTCATTTTCCACTTTACTGAGCTCCTTCAGCTCCCAGCCCAGTCGGAAAGCCGTCAAGATGGGGTCCTCACTTGATAAGGCAATCAACGAAGGGCTGGCTAAGGCTTTGTAGATGTTCAGCCTTGACCTGGAATGCCTCAGGCTGTCTACCTCCGAACTGGAGACACATTCCACACAGTTGCATCTGATCTGGTGTGGGCGTGGAATTGTTACCCGTCTTTGGACAAGCAGTTTGATGATTTCGTAGTTGTTGGTGTGAGCCGCCAGCATTATTGGGGTGATGTCTGGAGTGAATTCTGAAAACTGGGTGTCCATCATCAAAGTTGGAACCTATACAAAGGGAGAAATCGTAGTCATATTTCATGTGGAACAGCAGAAATCAGATGTCTCTCCTTCACACTTTTGACATGATGTCATAACAAAACAGAGTTTTTATAACACCCTCTGTTCTTTAAATACTATTGTATCCATGCACACACACACACACACACACACACTGCTATTCTGGCAAAACCATCTTCCCACAAGTCATGCCTGTCTGCCTCCCAGGCAGGAACCTGTGACCATTCATTCCCAGCCTGATGGAAAAGCCAGTCACATCCCCATCTGAATGCTTTATATGGGAACCTGTTCTGAAATGGGTATTGGTTCATATACCAAAAGGCCATCTTTTGTAGGAAAAAAAGAAGACAAAAGGCCCAGGTAATTTCACTAAAAGAAAAGGAGGGCTAGAAAAGAGTGAACACCAACTAGATTTCCGTAACTATCATTATTTGCATTATATATCTGCATTAGCAGGCCAAGAACCTGCTCGTAGCAGGCCCTACGCAAACCAAACCAAACACAGGTCTGCAGTTGAGCAAAGCTCTTCCTCACTTTTTCCCTACTGTTTTTATTTGAAAATACTTTTCAGTGGAAGGATACATTACATAACTGCCCCCAGAATAATTTTTTTTTTAATGGGTTTGAAAAAATTTAAATGTAAAATTAATGAGCCATAGTCCACTACAAATAAGACACTCCAGGGTGTGTATTATTCAGCTATTGTTGCACTTCTCAAAAGATGAGCTTAATGCACACCCTGTTGTGTCTTATTACTATATGCAGAGTGCAAAATTAGACCAAAATGCTCTTACATCCCAAGCACGCAGTGTGTTTCCATTTGCAGCACAGGCAGCTCTCTTTGTTGTGTGTTAATCATTACTCAAGCATACTGTACTTCGTGTGCCCACCACTCTTGCCCTGGCAGTTGGCATCCTGCTGCTCAAGGGGTGATTGCTGGGTTTGGTGAACAGTGGGCCTGCTTCCCCTTGCAAATGTCAAAGGCGTTTCAGAGAAACTATTGTCAGAGAGTCCTAATGACAGGAAACATTACTCAGTCTGTAACAATCCAAAAGTAAAGCAGCGATAAAGTACCATGAAGTAATCAGTTAGAAATCCTTCTGTAGGATAGACCTAGGACTGGTTGTGAGACAGTCTAAACCTCTGAACACTGAATCTGAGTTCCCTGGGAGTTAAGTGCCTCTATAGCACTAAAGAGCTAAAGACTCCTGGGCCGTAGTTGATTGATAAACTTCTACATAACCCAGGGACAGGACCTCTTCACAACACACAACGTTCTCCCACAGGCTGGCACCACCCTGAGATGCAGGGTCCTTTCCTGGAGCAGGGCTCACTGGGTGCCTAGAGGTAGTTCTAGGAGTAAAACAAGCCTGCTACCCTGGATGTGGCACATGAGGAGTTAAATCTCTGGCAGCCCACAGCCACACAGGTGTAAAGAGGCTTTGCTAAGAAGGCTGGTCCCCACAGAGGCAGTCAGGAGGGAGGGAGCCTATAAATACAGCTCGTGGGGAAGGAGAGAGAATGATAGTGAGGATTTGCTGTGGGTCATGGAGGGCTTGGTGTCTCTTAGCAAGGTTGGATAAATGTATTTTAAGATATCTAGTCACAAGCAGCTGAAAGCAGCTCTCTTTGTAAGGTCGTTGACTTTCTTTTCTTTTGCTTAGCTCGTTTAGGTAGTTTGTTAAATGTCAAGAGAAAGGTGCAGGTTTTTCTTTTTTCTCTTAGAAGCTTTTTTTTTTAAGCCCTGATGCTTGAATAACTGCATTTATCTTTCTTCCCCTCCTTTTTCAGTCAGTCCTTGGCTGCTGTATTCGCAGCCTCTGTCTCAGAGGAAGAATACTTTCCCCCTCTATCACTCCTATTACTGTCAAGTTTAATCTTGTTTTTCTGTATGGAAGTTATTGTACCCAGGGCTGTGAAAAGGATTTTCAGCTTTACACAGATGAGGAATTTGTGTTGCTCAGAATATGAAATGGCTACTTGGCAACGAGGCAGTTGTGTTACAGGTGGGGATAGCGCTAATCTTGTCTGCTTCTGTCTACTCCTGAAGCTTTCTAAATCTGGATCTAGGGCTTTCAAAATGGTTGCCCTAGGATTTGGGATAAAGTTGGGGGGATCTATCAAGTGATCTCCCATCCCTTATTCTGGCTCATATCACAAGCCCTCACCCCCAAAATGGAGCACTACTTTGTTAGGTCTCAGGCATGCCTTCCTGGGCAGCTTGCAGCACTTTCAATTAAGGGATAAGAAGCAAAATGGTGGTGCAGAGACATAGAAGCTCCCAGGGGTCTGGGAGCAGGTCAGCGTAAGGCCCCAAATCGCAGGAGCTGAAGCCTATTTCTGATTCTAGCTGAGCAGCAACACAAACCACCAAAACACAGAACAGGAATAGTGTGAATGATGGCTGCTGCAGCCTCTCTATTTCTATGCTTGGCTGATCCAAAGACCATGCATTGGCTAAAAATTATGTGTCTTCTGGTGAATATTTTTTTGTTGTCTTGCACAGTGCTTTGATAACCTGCATCTTTAACTAGCAAACTGTCTTGTTTTAAAGACGGGGCTATGCAAAGCAAGCCTTTGCTCTGAAGGCTGTATTCTACGTGTTACCACTGGAGGGGCAGCAGAGATTACAACAATGCATTGTAATTGCTGATGTTTTTCCTGCACTACTCTGACAGGTTGAGTTCATGTTTAGATCAGCTTCTTCTATGTCTTGGGTTAACTTACAGTGATGGAAGCAGAAGAGGAATAAATTATTCTACCCCAAGGGCTCTGCTAAGCTCTTCCAAGGTTATTTTCATTAAGTGACCTGAATAACAAATTCTTTTCCATTAACCTCATCACCTGACACAAGCTGTTAAGCTGAGTCCTTCAGAACATTATTGTCACTACTTGCATAGGAGCATGTGCCTTGTCCGTATTTCATCTTGGTATTGTTCGCTTAAGAAATTAATGCTACCATTAACAACAAGCAACTGAATGCTCGTTACCATCTTTCTAGACTTAATCCTCATCAAGGTAGGCTGCTTACCACTGAACAATACTGCAGTGAGTGAAAAATCTCTTTTGTTTAAAAAGGGTATGGAGGGAGAAACAAGCTTAATTCATTAGAGAAGAAAATGGAGGATTAGCTCACATAAAAGCACTGTTCAGTATAACTAAGCTCTTCTCTGAATAGAAATACAAGTTTTCCAGTAAATAGCGCACTCCTGGAAAGAAGCTCTGGATAGGAAGAGCAGGAATCTCTGCTTATGTTAGTAACTAGTACAGTGTAAAAGGAGCAGAACTACAGATCAAAAAAAAAAAACCAAACCAGCAAACTGGCAATGAAGACCTGATGGCCTTGTTGTGGGTCTTTCAGGAGTTTTACTTTGGACCTAATCTGGTCTGGTATCTGAGTGCCCCTGGAGCACATCCTCTGGTTTAGTGTTGTGCAAAAGCAATCCAGCTCAAGTGCTCTGCAACTGCTCAGCAACGTGAACCAAGGAGCAGTAAATGGGGAGGTTAAGGAGCTAGACCTCAAAAGCGTGCTCCTCAGCCAAACTAAAAGACTAATATGAATGCATCTTTTGCCTTATATGGACCAAGGAAGCTAACAGCCAGGTTTAAACACTGGAAGATTTCAAAGCAAACTATAGTGTTCCTACAGCATCTGTCATCTGTCTATGCATATTAAAAAGGACAATTAGGTGAAAAAAAAGCTGTTCTGCAGCAAAGGAACTTGCCAGTCAAGTGCAAAATCTTGAACTCTGAGGAAAGAACCTGGCTCTGGCTAATGACTATTTGGGGGTGGTTTTCTGTTTATCTCTGCATCTTAATGCTTTTCTGCCCTTCTGTATTGACAGTTCTCCTGATGATGGTCTGGTGACACTACTAGTCTCCCTTCATGTTCACATCTCTCCTCAGTGGCCACCTTTACTGGTGCTCACAGCTGCAGTCTCCCCAGATAACCTTCAGTGCTTCAGACCTGAACTGAAAAGACTGTATCTAGAAAGTAAAGCAAAGCCTTTCTTAGTTTTGTTAATCTCTAATTGTAAGCTGCTCGGGTCAGAGACAGTCTAAATATGCATCCTGTCTGGCACTGAAAATGCTGCCACTTTTGTTTGAAAGTAACTAATAATACCTTTACCTGTTACAGGTGGAATTGCCACATTTTCAAGCCATCTCCATTCCATAAACTAGCACGTCACCTGGACCGGTGTAATAAATTGTAAGTATAACCATGACAAACTGTAAATATATTAATCTGCATTATTTTCAGCTTGCATAACTTTTTGATACAGCTGTATGTTATGAAAATTTTCCAATTGCCAAAACAGTGTTTACTAAACAAAACAAACTCATGCAACCTCACTGGAAAACTTCAAACGTAATGCTTATAGAAATGGAAGCCTGGGTAACTTATTGAGCAAGGATTTCCTATTTCTAGTTTGTTTTTCGGCATGCAGCCGTATAGGGGAAGTGCATATGCCATCCACAAGCACGGTAACAAGCACAGCCAATTTCTGTGATTCTATAAGGAAGATTTTGTACTACATCAATTTATCGCGAGGCTCAGCAGTCAAAGGAGCTTTAGCAGTGACAGTGATTTTGTTCAGAATCGCAGTCCTGTGGTACTTCTAGCTGCAGCTCTATAAATAGAGAATGAGAGACAGAGTCAGTGTTGCCAGCCTGCAGATCAGCCATGTTACCAGCAAAAGGGTCTGGAAAAATATACATATTGTGACTGGCATGACCAATTGAATCCTGCTCCTTGCCTGAACCCATAAACAAATTCTTTTATTGACAGAACCCCATGGGCATTTGTTTCCTTATGTGGGACTCTGGGAAAGTGTTACATGCTTCTATAAATTTAAGCATTCATTTTAGGTGATGCAGTGGTGCCGCTTTCAATAACTGAGTATCTTAATCAGAGATGCCTTGAGAGATCTTATATCAGAGTGATGACAGTATCTGTTTTAATAGGGAGGTTGGGTTTTCTCTAAAGA